ATAAATTTATGTACAAACTTTCAAAGCCACAATGGATGGAGAAATTACAACATTCACTCAGTTTTAATGTTCTCTCTCTCTCTCTACAATGCAGAGCATGCACTAATGTAGGTTATGTATATATATATATATATATACATACACTTATATTCAAGACACTGATCACTTTTGCCAATCCTGTAAGTAAGTAATGATCTGTGGCTGGAGTAACATAACCAAAGTACGTACATTTCTTAATATTAAATACTTTGTTGAAAATTTAAAAACTAACAGACAAAAATATTTTGTTGAGGAAATCTTATCTAATGTTGGATAATCTTGAAAAGTGCCATCTCATCTACTCAATGTTCACTGTCGTATAATGATTCAGTTCCCAAGTTATAAGGCAAGACAGCCTAAAACAGCTGGTACTAGCATTCAGAAATTACTATTCTGATGGAGTAGTGATAAGTTGACTAAAAAAACACTCACTCAATTAAAACAGACAAGTTTTGTAAAGAGAATATTTACATTAAGTGTTTGAAACCACCAAAAAATGCTCGAGTTACTCTAGCAAACAATTGTAGTGTTAATAAAATGATCGTACAGGTTTTAGTGCATCAAGATATCAAACTATGTGAAAATGGTTAGTTAGTAATAAAAACAACATTTATTAGGTAAGAAAGAAAAGAATATACGTCTTACCCAGTAATCTAAAATTAACAGAGATAAGCTTGGTGGATCTACTCTTGCCATTAAAGTTATATAATTACCAACGTGCGGTGAATAAGATTCACAGAAATCAGAGTTGATTGATAATAAATGTTACAAAAAATGCCTAGCAGTGAGCATGGAGGTATTGTTGCATATTTTACACTGCACTGTGTATATTGTTGGGGGTGAAACAGCAGTGAGCATGGAGGTATTGTTGCATATTTTACACTGCACTGTGTATATTGTTGGGGGTGAAACAGCAGCAGAACAACCTCTGAAATTATAAAATCTTACTACAACCCACATTTTTTTTTTTTGGCATGTAGAATGGTTTCTTTACCTTGTGAGTACTCTAGAAAATACTGAAGTCTACTCAAGATCAAATTTGTTGGACTTCATATTTTTTTTGTAATTTGTATTCACTCACTAATTTTTCTGACTAGATTTATAACTGCACAAAATATAAACGTGCCTTTTGTATTCCCTCTTTTAAACGCTCCCACCCACAGTGGGTCAATGATAAGTCCGAAGGCTTATAACATTAAAAACCAGGTTTCGATCCTCTTTTAAACCTGCAACTTTATATTTCATCCATTAGCCCACTAAGCTTAAATCTTAGATATTAATGATGGCTTATCTTGTAGTTCCTAATTAAAAGGTATACTTATATCATTGGTAAGTACAACTTAAAATGATGTATTGAAGCAATAAAAAAAAAAACATTGCTACCCCAAGTATTTTTAGTTTTTATTAGAGTATTATTTTAAATGTGGTGACCAGTTTTAATAACTACCCCATAGAAAAAAAACAGTAGTCCTGAAATGTGTATATACACACAATAAAATGGGTGTAGTATAGTTCAAAATTCACACCCTTTATTCCTAACCTGTTAAGAAAGAGTAAAGAACTTTTAATCTAATAATGTTGAGAAGAGAAGTGATTCAAATACGTAAATAAAATATGGCCATAATAACATCGTTTTACTTTACTTAAGGTTAAGTAGACAACCTCAATAACACCTATCCTAACTTTAGTTAACTTCGCTAAGATCTACCCTCAGTTTAAATACTGTCTTTTAGAATCTATTTTATTTTTAAGGTGGACAGAGTGAATGATATCCTTAGGCTCTACACTAAGATAACCTTTAGGCTTAACAAGTACAAGTAATATTAATTTAGTAGTTATTGCTTTGAATATATCTTACAGTAGCATTGTTTTCAAGCTAGCAATATTGTTCCTGTAATTGTATCCACAATCGTGGAAAGTTTACGAAATAAATAATTTGGATAAAATATTTATGAAATTTTTACAACTCAGAAAACATTACAATAGGTTTACTGTATTGATAAAAATTAATCCAAGAAAAATATAACACTTCCGTGGTTTTGAAAGAGTACCACACGAGATTCCAGTCTGATCTGTGGTTCTGAAGAGATCTGCTCATAACGGTCTTCCATATTATTCACTAAGTAATCTGTTCTTTTTAGACAACTTCATTAACTTGCTGTAATCAATTTATAAACGAGCAAAATGGATGGACTTAAACAGTTTGAACCGGTTTTGAGTCATCTTCCACAAAAATTTCGACCCAAAGAGGTTCCCATTCTATGTAAACGCTCCGGTTCTGAACTGCTGTGTCGTTTATGTAAAGAAACCTACCAAGGACAAAGAAAAAAAAAATTTAAACATGTATACATAGATGTCATGTTAAAGAGAGACAACTAAGATAGAATTTAATAAGTACTAGTTGAGTGATAAATCTTTAGTTTGGGTTTGACAAAAATATTTTTTAAGTAGCAGACAATGAATAAATATTATTATAATAGCATTTGTAACTATCAAAACATTTTAATTAGCCATCTTGTGACGATCATGTTGATGATGGTTGTAAATATATTAGGTCGTCAAGAAATTAGTGTCGCGTTTTGGAACACTTTCATTAA